TAAATAAACCCCAGATACCTGCTTCCAGTCGCCATGGCCACGGAGCTGGAGCGAATAAAAAAAAAAGGAAAGGCTGGGAGCTTCGGTCGCCAGGGGGCTTGGTCAGTCTAAAAACAGCCCTGAGGCTGGCCAGGCACCCCAGCGGGACCCCCACCCTGATCCGGGACACCCTTCAGGGCAAACCAGCTGACCCCACCCGTGCACCAGGCCTCTATCCTATATAGTAAAAGGGTAATATGCAAATTGACCCTAACAGCAGAAGACTGGGAATGACTGGTCACTATGACACATACTGACCACCAGGGGGAAGATGCTCAGTGCAGGAACTGTCCCCTGGTGGAGCTCTGCTCAGCCACAAGCCAGGCTGATGGCTGCCAACACAGCGGTGGTGGCGGGAGCCTCTCCCGCCTTCTCAGCAGCACTAAGGATATCCGACTGCAGCTTAGGTCTGCTCCCTGCTGGTAAGTGGATATCCCCCGAGGGCTGCCGGGCTGCCAGAGGGATGTCTGACTGCCAGCTTGGGCCCGATCCCCCCAGGGAGCGGGCATAGCCAGCAGGTGGATATCCTCCAAGGGGTCCCAGACTCCAAGAGGGCATAGGCCGGGCTGAGGGACCCTCCCCCCCGCCCGAGTGCACAAATTTTTGTGCACTGGGCCTCTAGTTTATAACATAATACAGTTGACCCTGGAACAACACCAGTTTGAACTGCTCAATTCCACTTATATGCAATTTTTTTCAACTGACCTACACAATTCAAAACCATGTTGTTCAAGGATCAACTGGCAGTTGGGACTCTTCCTACATGGAGGGCCAACTGTAGTTATACACAGATATTCAATGGCAAAGGACATCAGAGCCCCTAACCCTTGTGCTGCGCAAGGGTCAAGGGTCAACTGTAATATTTTTATTGATTTTATATCCCCAAAGTTGCCATTTTAAAAGATCTAAATACATTCTGGGTTACCAAAAAACAATTTCTTTCTCATCCAATCAAATGTTCAGTTTTAACAAATATGAGTATATAAAAGAAAAAATATTTTAAGATTTCTATTATTCTTCTCACGTATTCATTTTTGACCTCCCTCCACCCTGTTCCTGCCCCTTCCCCAGGCCTTCACTGCACTGTTCCTTGTGTCTATGGGTTATGCATATATACATACAAGTTCTTTGATGGATGTACAGTTTTTATGTTTTTCATTGAGAAATAATTATTAGGAAGTGGTATATTTGTTATCTGAATTTACAAAAAAAAAAAGTTCATTTAGACTAGTGGTTCTCAACCATGGATGATTTTTTCCTCCAGAGGACACTTGGCAATGTCAAGAAACATTTTTAGTTGTTACAAGTAGGGGTTCTAATTGCAACTAGTGAGTAGAGGTCAGGAATATTGCTAAATATCTTACAACTGATATGTCAGCCACCCATATTAAAAAATTATCTGGTCAAAAACATCAATAGTGATGAGTTTGAGGAACCCTCATTTTCAGTTATAAACTCAAAAACACTACATTTGTTTAAAATGCTGTCCTTTTCTACAGTAACTTACAGAATCCTACACTCCAAGCATCATTATCAATAGTTCTCAATGGTCACATAAATAGGTACTGATTAGACAAGCAGCCATGTCTACTGAATCACTTGGTTGTAATTATCTGGAGTGGCTATTTTTAAAAAAGGAAGAAAATATGGAAGAAGATAGTGAGGAACAAAGTTTAGATTCTAAACTAGATGGAGAATGTATTCATCAAAGAACTCACATGGCTGTATTTTTGATAATTCTTCCTTGGTCCATCTTCTGCCCGATGCCATGCACAACAAATACAATGTGGGTAGTCTGAGATGGTTTGTCTTCTAATGAGGCTTCTTCTACATAACCTCTATGAAGTCTGGTCCCACTACTCGATGCTGTAAAAAATTTATGACTCAAAATTTACTATTTATTCTAAAAATAGCATTCTCATAATATATTGAAAGAAATAAAGAAAAAAATAGAGTATTACAAAAAAATTTCACTGGGTTGAGAAGAAATAAAATTTGTAAGATGATGTATATTGATTGGCTTTGATATGAAATGTTAAACTAGACAGGACACCAAAGCCAGAAACCATAAGGAAAAATAAAAGGAAGGAAGGAAAAAAGGAAGGAAAGAAGGAAGACTTGAACACATAAAAATTTTAAACTTCTCTATAAAAAAATACCATGAAGCAAAAATAAAAGATGAATAACAAACGGAAAATTTATATAAAATATGATGCATGGTAAGTTAATTGCCTAAAGATACAAAGAGAGCTTACCTATAAAAAAATGAAAAGATAACCAAACAGCAAAACAGAAAAAAGATATAACGTAATTCACAAAACAAATACAACCAACTAATGAACATATAAAACAATATTCAAGCACACCTGCTATCAAAGAAATTAAAGCAAAAAATGGGATAATAAAAAAATTATGTCAGACTTGAAAAAAATTTTTTAAAATTTATTTTTTGATAATGCTCTCATATCTTCCCAGGTAACATCCCCTCTTTTCCTTCTTTTTTGTCAACCGTCTTTAAAGAGTTATCTACTACCCTGCCTCCATTTCTTCACCTTGTACTTAAGCTTCAACCCATGCCACTCTGGCTTCTGCCCCATCAATCCATCTAAATCACCAATGACCTTCATTTTATTAAGTCCAATGAAAAATTTTCAGTCTTCATCTTCCTTAATACTGTGTTTCCATCTCGAGGTTTTATTTTCACACTAGTACCTTAGGTTTGACTGCTTTTATGCTTTTAGAAGTATAAAAGAATTTTTTATTAATCTTGTCAGATCATCCTAAATATATAATTATTCATTGATGAATACATGTCAAGTCAATCACCTTAATAAACTTTTCATTTAACAGGTCAGTAACTGTCATTAACTATAATACATATTTAAAATATACTAAAAATATAATTTGAATAGCCTATTCTAAATATAAGAGAAAAACTCAGATTTCCCAAATTTTAACAAATTATAGCAATATTTAACAATTACCTTTAGAAAATCCCAGTTTTTGGGTAACTGTTCTTGCAATTTTAGATGTTGTTGCATCACTATAAATATATACTTCATCCATATTGTGCCAGTCCACATGATTTCGACTCAACTTGAAACTATGAACAGCTGTTGCAAAAAAGGAAAAACTGATTGAAGGTCTCCAAGACAAACTCCATTTGTGTGAAAAATTATAATACACAGATTTTTGAATCCATATATGAACTTAGTTCAATAAAAAAAACTATTTCATTGAAACACATATTGATGTAAAGCAAGTAATGGATAGGGACTTTATTTTGTAAATGATTAATCATGCTACAGGGAATGACAACTTATTATAACAACATGGAATAAGTGGCTTAACTACCATAAATTTAACCTGTAACATGTTGTTAATGTGTTTTGATAAATAAAGTACTGCCTTCCCAGGTGATATACTATTCCAAAGTCCTCAATAACTTTGACACAGAAACTTAAGTTCCATTTCTTCTGTTGATTTTTATTTTGGGATCTGTGAAAATTTCACGCAGTGCAAAATAAAACAAGTCTCATAGAGAAAAAATTATCTTTAAACTGGGAAGAAAATAATCTAATTTACTAGAGTATAAGGTATTTCTGGAATGGATATTAAAGCCAATTATCACTGGATATTGCTCACCATAAGAAAAATTCGAAGTTGAAAGATGTTTTAGTAAGAAATCAAAATTTGGTTATTGCATTTCTGTAACTGCCGTATGGTTGGTAAAAATGAGTTAAAAAAATCAAACCTATATGCTCCAGAAATTCATAAGTTCTGTGAGGCAGGAACTATGTCTTGATTATTTTGTATCACTAGCACCAAACACAGTGTCCTAACACAGTGCCTGACATGTATCATAAATTTAGTAATGTTTGTGGAAGCAATGAATCAAGAAAATTGTCATAAAATGTTCACTAATTCATAATTTAATAATTATTATATTTTGAAGAACTCAAATGTTTCCTCTATCTCTGGTATAGAAGTAAGAAAAATCCATATACCCATCTTCAGAAAACTAGGCACCTTCAAATCATTATGCTTGATTTATTTTCTAAAAATCCTCTAAGCCAAGTATTATCTCCCATTATATACAAAGATAAAAAGGTACAAAGAGATGAAGTGACTTCACACAGAATAATTACTAGCACAGTCTAATATTCTTTTGATTTGAAGATGGGCTGAAAATAACCTCAAGCTAAATATGAAAAAATATATATAGCCTTGGTCAAGATCTAAGATCCTAAGACATTTTTATGTACAGTGGAACCTCGGTTCTCAAACTTAATGTGTTCTGGAATGCTGTTCTGGAATTGATTTGTTCAAAAATGGAATCATTTTTACCCATTAGAAATAATGTAAGTTGATTAATCCGGTCCAGACCCTGAAATGATTCCTGTTTTAACCTTTCTTATATACAGTACATGTCTAAAGTACTGTTTAATCTATAAACACTTTCCTTAAATTTATTGAACCACCATCCCCTACTAGCCTTAAAGGAATCACTTTTAGCATTCGGTTCAAGGATGTCTTTCAGGTCAGTATGCAGCATCTTTGCTTGTTTATATATCACTGCCTCTGAAAGGGCTGTTACTGGCTGCTTTTCCTTTATCCAAATCAACAAGTTTCTCTACCTCTTCAGTTGTCAGTGAGCATTGCTTCTTTCACAACCTCAGCAACATTAGCACTCTTGATGGCCTCTTAATGTTTGAAAAATTGTGCTAGATTTCATCAGCAACAAAAGCATTCTGTCCTTTGTTGCCTGAGAGATGCTTTTTGTCATGCTGATGTACCAGCTTGAAAGAGTTGTCAGTTCAAAGACTGAAGTTTGGTTGGACAACGTAGACATTTTTTCTGTGACCAACCAAATTATTCTAGATGGGAGATGTTCGAGAACCGAGATTTGACTGTAAACCTACTTCCTACCAGAATACATAGAAGAGTAAATCCATTCCAGGAAAATGTATTTATTAGCTATGTTACAAATGTAATTCAAAAATTTATCAGAAACTAATTTATATTTAACTTACCTGCCAGGACACATTACTAACATTGAACACAAGATCGAGATGCAATTAACACAACAAACATTAATAATATCTTCAGTTCCAAAGAAAACAATGTACAAATTCAGCTTTTTAAAAGAACTTTTCATAAATTAAAGAAAATACTTTACTACATTTAACAATTATTTACTTTTCTAATTCTATGTCCAATCTAAGTCACTATTTTAAGCCTTTTTGTCTGATTCTAAACCACATTTTTGTTAAAATAGTTTTGAGCAACATATGATGAGAATAGTGAAACTTCAAGATCAAGATATTAAGAGAATAGTGTTAGGCCTACAAAATTTCATTCTTAATACTGGCGAATATCCCCTTATTGGACTACACACATCATTTACAAATGTTTATACCACTTAAAATTAACACTAAAAAAATAGCACAATGTATACATTTCTATGCTTTAAATATGGATACTAATAATTTCTATATCTTAAAGACTACTGAATGCTCTAAATACAACTAAGCGCTATAAGCCAGGAATATAACTACATGGAGGAATAAAACTACAATTACTGTACCTTGGAAACGCTTTCGTTTAAGACCTGCCGCATCTGTACTCGCCTTATATCCTCTCCATTTGAACAGAGAAGGGAGGGAGAAGGGAGGGAGGTGGTAGGCAACTAAGAAAGCAAAAACACTGAGCTTCAAAGTATATTTTAAATGAGGTTTGCTATTTTGCCTTTTTATTTTATTAACTTTAAAAAATGAGTTGTATTTGACAAACATTCTAAGTGCTTTATTGATATAATTTCTAATTAAAAGTCAGTGAAGCAAAATATCAATGTTTATCAAATATATGCTCTACTTTTACTGAAAAAAGGCAAACGATATCTAAATTTCTCAGTTAAAGACAACTATGCAACCATTATTTTTAATGTCTCTGCATAGGTAGAATAAAAAAACAGAGCACAGCACTTTTGTATGTGCAAGAGATTTATAATCCCCTTCTTTACAATACTAAGATTATTTACTCTCACCCAATTTGTGGCTCTGACAGCTAACAACTGATGTGCAAATTGAGAATGCAATAAAGAACATTTTAAATATCTAATTCAGCTTTCGTGAGAAGATAGCACAGTATACATTCTACTAGATGTTTTCAACTACTAGAGTATAATGGAGCCTTCCCACAGAAACACAATATCCTTTTCACAACTGTTCAAGTTGTTAAAAGACTTTTAAAAATGAAACAAAAACAAATCAAATTCAAAGCTCTACTTTTAACTGAGTTATTAATGATAAAAAAATGAAAGATTAGTGATAGAATAATGAAAAAAGGTCATTAGTAAAAATATATGCTGACATCTTGTAAGCATGAAACAGGCTATACAGAGTATAGTTGGACAGACTTGCTATTTGGCAAATCAGTAGATAACTTGAACCTTAAAGTCACCACTTCCCCTGTCAAATATTGCTAATTATAGATCAATATTTTTCTATACTTTAAGAAAGCAATTATTTTAAAATCCACTTTGAACTTACAAATCCATTTGTTAATAGTTCAGTTAAAATGAACTATTATGACCCACAGAACTTTTGTGATTTAGTTTAAATTTATGTTCTAATACATTTGATTTTCATTCTCACTCCCTTCTACATTAATGTGACATTCAAAGGTTAGTTACTGTGCAAATGGGTAAGTATTTAATTCCTGTTTTATGGTACTAGAAATATAAAAAAAAATCTGATGTGTACAAAGATGAAGTATAAAGATTGGTGCAATCACTGTAATTGAGAAATGCTTATAAGGCGCTTAACTACATAAAAAACTATAGACTAGGATTAAAAAATGGTCAGAATATCATGATTATAAAATCATTTCATTGTCACAGGGGGTGGAAAATGACAACTGAAACAATTTTCATCACTGAAAATGTTTCTTCATTCATGAGCCTTCTGGTCAGTTACTGAGGAGTAGATGTACTACTTGTACGAAACATTTAGAAAAAAAAATCAATAGGAAAAAGCTAACATATCCAAGTAGATCAAAATGGCATAGAATTGACACTTTATTAACCAAAGAAACAAAACCTAAAATTTCTAAATCTACTAGTAAAACTAACACGAACCAATTCCATATTTACTAAAAGAGAATTAATGGGAAACATATGAACCATAATGACCACTTTAAAATTATGCAAAAGCTTTCAAAAAGCTTGTCAAGATACAAAAATGAAAGGCTTTCCTTTCTAAAGGAATAGTATAAATTAGGAATTAACAAAAGGGCAAACACCCCAATGTATTCAAAACAGAGAAGCATATTTATTTAAAACATTTTTATAAAATTAAATAGGCATGGTTCTTTTTTTCAAATTTAAATCTTATTTTCACTTGAAAGTCATTTGCTCTATTTGTTACAACATCCTGTTAGCTTAGAGAGCTTAATTTTTTCAACTCAAACTATCACAAAAGTAGAGACAAAAGGCTTTATTATCAATCCAAACAGAAATCACTATTAAAAGAAATTCAAGTGCCAGAAAGCATTTCTTTTTTCTAAAATAAACATTTAGTTATAAATTCTTATGTTGTGTTAGCAAAAGTATATATTAACTCAAGATACAACTGGAAGTGCTAACTTTTTAGATGCTAGCATTTAATAAAAATTTTCTTTTAAAGTCCTGCACAAAAAAAAAATTTAAAGTATAAAATACAGCATTTCTAAGAAATTTCTTTACTATAATTCACCTCTTACAACTCAGTCACTTTTCCCTTTATAAAAGCTGGCAACCTGGATAAACTCAACTTCAGGGGAAGAAGGTCTGTACATCTCAAGCCTGTCAAAGGTAATGAGAAGACTTCTGGCATTCTTCTTGGACCTCAGAGAAATTAAGTTAGATAAATTTATAAAAATTAATAACTAAGAACTAGATGGTGGGAATTCTCTAAACCTTCCCCTCTCCTCTCCTGCCCGTCTTTTTGACTTCTGAAATTCTATATTGACATTTGTGATATCCCTATCCAGCAACAGTGATAGAAATGAGTACAACTTTACATGCCAAATATTAAATGTTGTAAATCCTTACAGATCCACCAACAGCTGTACT